GTTGGTCAATTTAAAAAAAAAATTTCATTTTTTTTTTAAATTGAGTTTTTATAGAGCTTTTTTAATCATTTAAACTTAATTTAACCTTAAGAAAGGTTTAAACAGCTACACACACCAAATATTAATATAAAATGAAACAGATATATCACAGTCTGTTGGCATTACAAAAGTATAACAAGTGTAAAACAAAGTTATCTTAAAAAGCAATAGAAAGTAACTTTGAATCAATTTTGTTGCAAGTATCCCTTCTAAAATGCTGTGGAAATTGAAAAACATATTTTATTTGGGAATCACTTTACATCTCATTACACTTTACATTGTCATCGTGCAACTCTCCAATGCTGGATATACCAAAGTTGTGGACAGCATTGTTTAGCCTTCTAAGGTTCTAAATCACATTGTTCCTGATAAAATACTTCATAGTGACCACTATATGTTTATGTGTTTATTTATTGACTATTTAATTCATTATTATTTATGTATTTTAATTTAATCCATTTATTCCTGATGTTTTATTTTACATTTCATTGTATTTTATATTAATGTATAATTTTTGTAAACTGTACATGTATAATTTAAATTTCCAAGCATATGGGGGGGACAATTTTGAAAAAAACATTAGTTGATGTTCAAATTCTTTTTCTTGAATTCAAATGTCTTGTTCTCTGGAAGCTTTAATAACAATTCTGTCTGAATAGAACAGTTTTAGACTGTTGAAAGTACTTGCAAATAAATTTCATTTTTTCATAATGCCAACAGACAGTGATATACGTGTTTCATTTTATAATTTAACCTATACCCTTTTTAATGTGAATTATACACTTTCTTAATAGTTTATACTAATGCAATTCTGAACAAATAGGCACAATGACTAATATTTTTCTGATGGCCATATTTTTCCAACATTAATTGATAAATTAATTGACTTATATCACAATTAATTCTACACATCAAATATACTTTCAAGTGCAATATGGTCAGCAAAACAATATTAAATAATTGGTAGTGTGATAACAATTACTTGTTTAAATGAATAATTTCTTTCAAAAACAAAGGCAGCAGATGATGCTGAAAATAAATCAACCAGATATGTGTATGAATGAGACAAACTTATTTATTAAAAAATACCTATTTCTAAAAATTTATTATTACCAAACTTGAACATTTTCAGCAATAGCAATTAATGTGATTAGTATGATTAATGATTGGCAAATGATTAATTAGTACATCTCTAAAAGCAATATTCAAAATATTCTAAAAATGGCTTCAATGTTTTCACTTTTGCTAAAAGCCTAATGACAGTATTCATAACAAAGGATCAAGAGTTAGAATTAGAAGTTAATCAATTACCATTTAAGATGAGCAGTAGTTAATTACTCTCAATACAGTTAACTACTAGTAACAATTACTGTCCCAATTTGGTAATTAAAATACTAGTTAACTACATGTTTAGTTTCTACTCTAACCACTTTTCCTTTTGATTAAGTATAACATTGCCTTGGTATAATCTATTGTATTAAACAGAGAAAACAGGTCTTGATTTTTATGAAGATTAGTTCAACTCTTTTACTTATTTTTTGAGCAATGAATGAAATTTTTATATTGCCAGTTGATAAATGTCAAATTCAAACAAAAAAATCACTATATTTTGCCTTGCATATGGGTATGAAACTACATGGCTTATTATGTAAGTATATTTTTATTCTGTTTTGTACTTGCATTAATTACTTACACTCTACTCCTTAAATGTACTTACACTCTACTCCTTACACTCCTGTACTTACTGTACTTACACTCTACTCCTTAAGTGTACTTACACTCTACTCCTTAAATGGTTGGTGGGAATTTTCATGAAAAATCAGAAATTTAGAAAACAACAATGTCAGTCTGCGTGTAACCCATTAGTGGCTGAAACCACTGAACACTGGTAGCTGGTTGTAGGTTTTCGCTTCACCAATGAATTGGTCACATGGAGTTTAAGTTTTCTTTAATGTCTAATATCTAAATAGGAGCCAATTTTTTAAAATACAACACTACTTTTACTAGTAGTGATACAGTATAACATGTTTTTCTTGTTGGGAAAAATTTTAATGCCTAGATGTTGCAGAATTTCAAATGAAAAATTTATATTTTAAGCAAAGAAATAAAAGTATTAATAAGAATAAAATGAAAATAGTACCTATCATTAATTACTATTCACTTTACTTCTAGTATCTGAACATTTATTTAATTAGAGTTAGAAATTAATCAATAAGGATGTAAATGTTGTAACATAAAAAACAAAACATTTTTAATATTTATTCTCCTCACTGATAACTTAAGATCTTCAATCAACCCAATATTTTATGCAAAATCAATGTAGAATTCAGTTTATAAACAGGTTCAAGAAAACTCATAATAATAATAATAATATGAAAATTTATCAAAGACTGGATACACTTCACTTACTAATGTTCAGGTCATTAATACACGAGAAAAGCTGATAAAGATAGGACAATTGTCAAGTTAGTCAATTAAAGATGAACAATTAGTTGGTCAATTTAAAAAAAAAATTTCATTTTTTTTTTAAATTGAGTTTTTATAGAGCTTTTTTAATCATTTAAACTTAATTTAACCTTAAGAAAGGTTTAAACAGCTACACACACCAAATATTAATATAAAATGAAACAGATATATCACAGTCTGTTGGCATTACAAAAGTATAACAAGTGTAAAANCTTGGCCTTCCTCTTTAACCTGTCGTCGGCGGTAATATTGCTTCCGGTCAGCGAGTCTAGAGTACCGTTGCCGTCCAGCTCGCTGCCATCAACCATGCAAAATCAATGTAGAATTCAGTTTATAATTAATAAAGTGTGAATTCTACATTTATAAATAATTAATTTCTGGGAAATAAAATAAGAAATGAAGTACTGAGTTTTTTCTATTTAAATCTAATATTTATTAATCATTAGAAGAGTCAATAGTTTTTTCAGTAGAAATTATTTGACTGATAGAACAAATTGTAACATTTCACTATTAATATTAAATCATATTCTAAACAACCAACGATAAAAATGGTATGACAAAAAACATTAATTTTTATATTTTTGTTGGTACTTATGGGTTAAGAGGACACCAGTCGGAAATAGCGATCAAACTTGCGATTTTGAATGAAAATATCAAAATAACAATAGACTAGTAAATTTAAATCTAAAAAGAAAAAAAATTTACTGATGAGGTTGTAAAAATGGAAAAAAAATCAATTAAGATGATTATAGATATCACCTATTTGCCATATTTGCTGTATACACTACAAAACAATTTGCATATTCAAGTAGTTTATTACTAGAATTTGTGAGATTTTGTTATATCTTTATAAATGGTAATTTATTGTTTAATTTAACAATTGTATTAAATCTGACAAATAAAAAATTGCATTATTCGGAAAAAATGCTATTTCTGACTGGCATCCTCTTAACCCATAAGTACCTTTTTGTCAAATTTAATATTGTCAGTATCAGTATATGAATTCAATATTTCCAAATGATAAGGTGAGAGCAATGTAACAAAAATTCACACCAAAATATTTTATGCAAAATCAGTAAGAGAGTATTTTATTTTGATGATCATTTTCTAGACATTTTGCAACATTTACTATTTTACTTAATCCTTTGAGTACTTTTGGTTTTTACCATTAAGAAATAAAAAAAATCAAGTATTTTAAGAATAAATTAATTCTGAAAATATCAAAAAGTATTTAAAGATTTTGTTTTAAACTTTAAATGAGAACATATAGTTGCAAAAATATTTAACTCCCAATGGTTTCAATAAACAAAAAGGCATATCATAAGATTATTATTAAAAGACTTTTTATGATTCACAATATTTCCATAAAATTTTTCTAAAAAGCCATATAACATTTAAGAGAAGAAATATGATAAGTTTCTGATTTCATTTCTCATTATATGTATATAGATACTATACAAAAAATTAATATAAAAGACAATAAAATTCAATCAAATTTTGAATTTAACTGTTAGCTTACAAATAAATCAAGTAATTTAAAATATGAAAAAATATAAAATCACATTTGGTTAACATTAAATTTTCAAATGGACAAACAAAAACATTGCAGGCCAGTCTTAAACTGTCATTTTTTGAAATCAAACTATGTAATACACATGAATAATTTCTGAAAATTTGGAATAATTGTGTGATGACACTTTATTGATAGAATTAAACTTTATTCTATCAATAGCATTTTTAATGCAAAAATATACCAAATTGAAATTTTTCCAAAATTATCAATTCAAGAGAACTGCATGAACATTCATAGCTTAAAAAAAATCCTTTATATAGATTCCAATTTATGCTTGTCATCATTAATAAGTTACAAGAACAAAATTAAAATTTGCACCGCGGTCTTCAAATACTTTTAAAACATATTGGAAAACATAAAATTCAACTTTCTTATCTGAAGAACTACGCTATTATTGATGATTAAAATGTATTTTTATGAAAAGTATTAAATTAGAATAATTTCTTTGACACACATCAATTTCCCAAGCCTCAATTAGCACACTAAAAAGAGTGAAATAAAAAAAAGCTGGAAATAATTTTAAAAAATTAACATATTTGGAGCATTTTTTTTTTTGTTTACACCTAATTAGTATTCAACATTACTTAATCAGAAGAGAGTTACATAATCAGTCCTAATTCACTCATACTACTGGAAGTAATACAAGTGAAAAAATTTGCATTAAAAATTATAATACAATATGTTTTCTGGTCGAAAAGCATTTTTCACCATCATGACACAGGAAGATATCAGTAATTGCTAAATAATAGAGTAAAGGGTACTCTACTATTAGCAAGAATTACATAGAAAAGAAGGAATTACGAATGGAAACTGGAAAATTAGATAACATATGCGGTAGAATGGAGCGACATCCATATTGATAATGATAATAACAAAGATGTTATATTGACGGGAAAAGAAAGGGAGATAAACAGAAACTCACCCTTCTTGGGCAAGCCTCTTCCGTGGCCGTTTCGAGGCCTCCTGCTGTTCTTGGCGAATCTAAGTACGGTGCCGTTCGAGCCACAGACCGAACCAGCCGAAGCCTCTTTACAGGCCAGTAACTTGGAAGGCCTCTTGGCCTTCCTCTTTAACCTGTCGTCGGCGGTAATATTGCTTCCGGTCAGCGAGTCTAGAGTACCGTTGCCGTCCAGCTCGCTGCCATCAACCAGGTTAGAGTCGGCCACTTCGACCGTACCGTTGGTTAGGCCTAGCGACGTCATACTTTTTGCTGCCAGCCGGATCGACAGAGATCGTTGGTCCGAATATCACGGTCGGTCGACAATGACAACGATGAATATCTCTTCCGCAGATTACGAATCGGTCGGGTGCCAACGTACAGATACACAAACACGAGTAAAGCCTGTCGCGATGCTTCTTCCTGTTCCAACTCTTCTCTAATAGTCTTTGGGCGACGGTAAAACCCGGGACGGCAGCGACGAAGAACGAAAGTCGGTGAAATAGATTATAATTTTTAACGAAAGAACGAAAATTTCGTCGTCTTCGCTCGAAAAACGCTAACTTCTGATAGTCCGAATAGTTTCTTCCGGAGTAGCGTTGGAGTAAATCTACCAGATAAGAAAGCTCGGTCGGCCGCCCTCTTCTATTGGTGGAGAAACTGGTAAACAACTTCCCTACGCCAATTGGGGTGCTCGTACTTTCCGGTTTGATACAGAGTTACGTAATATAGATTAGAAAGTGACGTTTCCGGCGGACGTAGCGAGTGGACCGAGTAGGCTCGTGCTCGTCGTCCCGTAAAGTCGAATAAATTCCGTCGTAAGGTGAAATGGGACAGATACACATTAAGGAAAAATTTCTCCTCTTTTTTTGCAAATATTTTACCAGTTAAATTACCGAAATACAACGTGGCGAAAATAACGTGAAAGTAGATTTTTATATAAAGTTGAAAAGGAAAATGTGATAGGAAAAGACATTTTTTTCGACTTCACATTTCTTTAAAATTAATGGGAAAAAAATTATTTACAAGTTATCCTTTGACCTTAGAAATACTCGTTGACTTGGTAGTTCGGTTTGACCTTGAAAAATTCGCCGTTGGTCATTTTGCATCGATAAATCGGATAATTAATTCCGATAATGTGACCGAAATCAAATATTCTGCTGCATTGTAAGGTGAAAATTAAAATTTGCATTAATTTATCCATTAATATAACCAGATTTGGGTGAAATCATCGTTAATAAAAATATCTCGTTTATCATTTCTTCTCCTCTGATTCGTTTCTGTAATACTTCGATGCCATTTTACACACTGTTACCTTTATGTTCCATATATTTACTTATGGAAGCGAAATTCAGCGAATTATTCTCAATATTTAATTGTAGGAATAAAATCTTTATATGAATTTTTCTTCAGAAATAATATAAAATATTGCTAAAATTTTCGATTATTGTATCTTGCAGATTAATAGAGTCCGGAATCTTTTGAATAAAAAAACGTACATTCATATACAGTACACTCGTTGAAAGTTACGAAACAAACGCGCACACGTGCATTTAAACGTATCAAAGTATCCATTATATTTGTTTGTAAAATATTCAGTGTCTGTGACAGATTATTTTGTATGGTTATATAAAAACGACACATTAAATTGCGGCCTTTTAGAACTAAATTATAAATACGCAAGTAATTGGACATCGAGGATTTAATCAATATATATTAATTTTTTAAATAAAAATTCTGAAAGTATTTGTAATACATTTAGTTATGTTGAAAAATATTCAAATGCCTACGATAAAATCAATTTGAGTAAGAAATCAGATTAATATAAACCCTATTTTAAAAAAATGTAATTATATATAGCGTATTATAAAATATTTTAAATAACTTAATCCGTTTTAGCTTTTCATTTACAGCAGATCCTGCAAATTATGTAAAATGAATAGGAAATCTAATTTATAATGTTGTTTAATTATTTTCCGGTAATATTGTTGCCATTGTTGTAATAATTAACACTACTGGAATTTTGCAGGATAGTGACTGTAACATCCGTAATAATATTTTCATGGCAAATAAAATTTTTTAAAATTCAATTTAAGATATATGATATTAAATTGTATTTAATCATTCTACATTAACAAACATATAACTAGTAATAAATATATTAACACTACATTAAACATTCGTGGGTGTACGAGTCGGAAGCAGGGGGACAACTACCCTCCCAAATTCGGAAAAATTGTGGAGAAAAATTTTGATAAAGCAAGAAAAAGAAAAAAGATTAACAAGGGATCAGTGCTGAAAAAATAAAAAAAATTAGTAATTGTGTTTTTATTTGTAAAATTTCGGTCCCTCTGCTACCCTTAAGCAAAGTGTCCCCAAATTCTCATAGTCTTAATTATAGTACAAAAGCTGACAAAAAAAGAAAAAAATTGTTAGAAGTTAATCATGATGAAAATTTGCTGATGAAAAATGTTCTATGCAATTTGATATGATTATTATTATATATAATTTATTTTAAAGCAGAATGGAAATTATTTTTGTTTTGTTTTTTCCGGGAAACTTGATGAGTAATGAACTAATTCCGATAAAATATTGCATATGATAAATGAAATGGTTCTTTATTAATCAATAAACTAAGAGATATTATAAATAAGTAGTTTTTTTTATAATATTTTAAGTAGATAATCAATAAACTAGAGATATAAATAAGCAGTTTATTTACAATATCTCTTTGTTAATTAAACTGTATAAAATGATATAATATGTAAAACTTTAAGGATTGAACATATATTCTAATTATTCCATTGTAAATGAATAACTATTGTTGCTACAGTTATTAAATATAATTTCGTTTGTGTCTGCGGATATTGGACAAGTTTTCTTAACGCAGTGGGTAACATTCAAATTATAAATGGATAACGTGAAATGGAAAAACTTATTTCCGTTTATTCTAAAATTATATTTTTTCCTTATATCTAGACTTTTTCAATTAGAGATGAGTTAGTAGAAAATACTGTATTAGATTTTGAAAGTGCATTTGTATATAAATAATCAAAAATATTATCATCCGTTGGCATGAGATTAGCGAATGAACTGAATAATACCGTTATCATTAAATGCAAACTAAGTTTATCATAAAATAAGATTAATTGTATAAGATATTGAAATTTATTAATATTAAAATATTATTAAACATTTTAAAAAGTATTACACATTAAAAATTTCTGAACTTCATATTTTTTAAAGTCTAATTTCTCTAACTTAAATTGTTAATATTCAAAACCGTTATAAAGATTAAAAAATTCAGTTATAAATATTATAAAAATTGAATATACTAAATTTCAAAATTTAGTTTTAAAATTTATGAATTCAAATTATTATAAAATATGATGTTTTATTTATAACTATTAGAATTTGTACATCTTTGAAACTAAATTTTATATTTGAATATCTACAGTAGAGCCTCGATTATCCGACCCAATTGGGGACTGGGGTTGGTCGGATAATTGAAAAGTCGGATAATCGAAAAGTATGAAAAAATCCATTATTAGTGTAGTATATTATTATATCCCATGTAATTAGTAGATGAAAATGATTTATTTAAATCTTAAAAATCAGTACAAAAAGGGGTTTTAGAGGGTAAATGTGAACATATAGAGAGATATATACAAGTAGAGGTAGTGGTGATCGCGACCATGGGCTCATAGCCTGCCGTGATGATAAACAAAACCAAAGTTTAGGTGTGTAACATAGAGTATGGTGATCGCGGCCAAGGGCACATAGCCAGCCAAGATATATGATACAATAGAAATAGGAACAGAGCGTAATCATGGCTAGGGGCACATAGCCAGCCATGATGCGACAACGCGACAAAAGTATGTACATAGACTATACAGAGCAATTAGTGGTTGCGGCGGCCGTATCTTAGGTGGTTACAGTATATTTCGCGACTCCACCTTATGCAGTCACTGACCATTAATTTGGTCATCATTTTGGCATACTTACGGCTTATGCCGAGACGCTGAATGACAGAGATGTTGGCCGGGTCGAATCCACCAAGGGAGCCCATGATGAAAGCATCGCAATAAGTATCGTAACCCTGTTGACGTAGATGTTGAGTAAGGGCAGAATACTTGCTTATTTTCATGTCCCTGGCTACGTTGAACGCGTTCTGTCCGTTTTCGAAGGGGACGGCCACATCGATGATTGTGGCAGTCTTAGTCCTCTCGCAGATGGTGACTAGGTCGGGACGGCAGCGGTCGTCGAACCCTGGGATCTTCTGATTACAGTAGATTTTTAAGTCCTGGTTGTTGANTAAAACACGTAAAAATAATATTAAAGTAGCCAAGACATAGCCAAATATTGTAGCGCCACATCACTAGCGGACATTTGAAATTTGCCGACTAGGACGGTCGGTTAATCGGAGGTCGGATAATCGAGGCTCTACTGTATTAAATTTATAACTGTATAAATTTTTAAATTTCAAATTTGAAATTCTTATTACAAAACAAGTAAATCACATTTCCGAGAAATGAAAGAGTTTAACCTATTAAAATGTTTTCATAACAAATGCTCTTTTTTCAATTTTTCTTTTACTATAGCCGGTAGGTTCCTTTGTGTCCTTTCGTACATTTTAAACTTTAGATAGCCTTTATGGAAGAAAGGTAGGAAGAAACATTTGCTTAGAATATTTTGCTTAAGTTTTATAAATTATATTTAACTTTATGTAACAAATTTTACTGGGCACACTTTGTAAAAATTAGGCAAAACAAAAGTATCCAAATATGTTCATAATGCTTACAGGCAGTGGCGTACCGTAGTGGAAGCGGCAGGGGCGGCACTTTTTAGGGAGCGGCAAAATTTTACAATAAATAATAATAACATCTTGTAAAATATTGAAACATCCTAAATTATACTTGCATCGCGCCTACGATGGTGCTATCGTCCGGACAGTCCGGGAATCGGCTCGCCGTCCGGGTGAAGTAGTAATTTTTTTATCGAAGGAAATCCTGCGAAACCTGTTGACCTTTTTTTTTACTTATACAATGCAATAGCGTTTATATACACCATTAATATCCAATAGAACTATTTTAAAACAGGTCGCTGCACTACCACCGAATTTTTCATTGCTTGTTCTGTGACAAAACTGAATTTTGGTCTTTTAAATTGAAATACCTAAATAAGTGGGGGGCCGAAACTTTCCTCCGCCCGGGCGGCTGACATCCACGGTACGTCACTGCCCACAGGTCTGATAGAACCTAAAAAAGTCACAGGTAATAAATATATATTATACTTGCTCCTCGGAGTCGGCTCGTTCACACACTTACCCTTTTTTTTATCAGATGATTTTTTAGTTAAAAAATATATTGTTTGTATTACATTTCATATATGTTTTTTTGCTTATGTTTAAATTTTCACTTTTCATTCATCGATTCATTGAAATGAAAATTCTTATAATAAACTACCATATATTGTTGATTGGAACAAAGGAACAGAAGATAGTGGAGACTACGATATTGAACATATCCATATAAAAATGCATGTTTAAACATTATATTTGCAATAACTTTTTTAAGATACGCAACAGATGGTAATGTAAAAAGGTAAGTTAAAAAATATGGGGCACTAGATTTTTTAAAAAATCTCAAAGTGGGCGGTAGTCGAAACAAGTTTGAGAACCTGTGGTTTAGAGGAATACTATCCGATCAGTATATGCCGGGTTGAGC